GTTGTCTGTTGATGGGGGCATTTTGGGATGTAAGTGTTGTTCAGACATCACTAATCATTGGCTTGTCATGGGCCCAGACAGTCTGCGCTTAGAACTTCACTCCTCTGGCCTTAGAGACCAAATAGAATAGCTATTATGTGCTACTTTTACAGACCCCACATGACACAGGGCTGAAGAGAGATGGGGGTTCCTGAATGGGTGATTCCTGGCTTCAGTTCCCTTCTGATCAGGGTGATGAGACCTAGAACCCTCTGGGGATGGAGGTGACAGGGGAGGGGAAACAGAATCTCAAAAACAGAAGTCAAATTGTCTGAAATATTATGGGACAAACAGATACTTTTGTTCACCTTTCTCTTGCTGCCCATTCCTGGAGAGAGGATACCTGCTCTCACTTTCCAGTGCATCAACTAGAGGGCACAGGTTGCAGGAGAGTGGACACCTGTCCAGGCTAGGGGACTCAGTCAGTCCTCTTCCTAATGAGTCTCCACAGAAACCTCCCCCTTGCAGGGTGGGCACCCTTGTGGCAGGAGGGGCTTGTGGGACGGATGCCCCCGCTGTGCCCGGCAGTGAGAGAGGCTCCACCAGTGCCTGAGGGGGAGGACACCGGGTAGCCCCATCTGTCCTGTGCTTGCCAAGCCACAGCTTCAAAACCCGGAGCTCGCCTGGGCCTTCCTTGCCACTCTCCTTCCCACTCGATTTCAAACCAGTTAGATTTCAACCAGCCTCGTGGCATCAGCCCCTATGAGCCTCTGTTTTCCCCTCACAGTCCCTCCAACAGTCCGTCAACCTGGTCTTTACTGAATGTCAGCTCCAAGCGAGGCGCGTGGGGGTCCAGAGACAGTAAGACACAGAGCTCAGCCAACTGGGGGCGGTGAGTGTGAAGAAACAGCTCAAGGTAGTCATGCCAGGTGCCCCATGCGTGGTACAGACAGGGCGTTCTATAGTAAGGCAGAGGAGGACGGCCTCCCTGGAGGCTGATGGGCAGGGGAGGCATTTTCTGAAGAGCTGAGAGGTGACCTTTTAAGATGGGGAAGGCAGCCAGTGAGGCGTGAGCAAAGGCCCCTCGGTGGGAATGTGCATGGCATGTCTGGAGCTACGACTAGACCAATGTGGATGGCTGGGGGAGGGCTTGGTGGGTTAGTGGGGATAAGATCACGTTAGGGGTGTGCATCTCACCTGCTTGCTCAGGCCACAGTCTCTGGACTCATCGAAGCTTATCCAGAATGCCTGTGGAAATTAAGGTTCTAGAGAATTCTTTTCGGGTGCACTTGAGGGCAGTCAGAAATTCTTTTTATTTCATTTTGGTTTGCAAGTATTTATTTTCAAAACATTAACAATTCTATCAATGACATGCACATCATTTACAAGGTCAAAGAGCACTGATATAAGTCACATTTAGTTAACAGAGCAGTTATCTGCCCCTTGTCCTCTCTACCACAGTCCTACTCCCCAAAGTTCAATATTTCCAACTGTTCTTCGGGTATGTACTTCCTGAAATACATAAATTACTAAGCAAATTTCTAAATACATTCTTATACTGCTCTTTGTTGCTTTTGCAGTTTTGACATTGGCTATTTTATTCCTATTATGGAAGAAATGTCCTTTTCTGTTCTAATATAGTTTATTAATGTTTGCTTTATTATTAATAAATATTACTCACTGTTAAACCAAGTAATGCATAATAATTACACTTTTTTAGACAACTTTTTCAATTGCCTCATTTTTTTCGTTGCCTTTTTGATAAGAATTTGTATGACATCTTTACAAATTCTTACCAAATTCTCTATCAAATTGTAAAATTCCTTCAAATACTATTTTCCTGTAGCCACATCCTGTTTCCATCTCCCCCTGCCATGCCCTCTCGGAGTGCCCACCCTCCTGTGCCCCTTGAAATGGTCCCTGGAGCCCCTGCACAGCTGTGTGCTTGGGAAACCCCACCTCTTTGGGGTGTCGCCCCTATTTCTTTGTTCCTCTCTGAGTTTCTTTGAGAAAGGACTCTGAGAAGGTTGATTTTGTTTTGAGACCCAGCATGTTGGAAAATGGCTTTAATTCTATTCTCTCACTTGATTAATAGTTTGGCTGGGCATAGAAGTCTAGATTGAAAATCTCTTTCCTCGCCCACACAGTACCTTGAAGGCAGCTGATGTACTGTTTCCAAGCTTCCAATGTTGCTCTTGAAAAATCTCATGCGATTCGGAGTCCTGACTCTTCGTTTGCTTTCTCTTTGGAAGGTGTTAGAATCATCTCTTTGGCGCCAACTGTTTGGACATCCCATAGTCAGATTCCTGTGTCTATTTTGCTGGCACTCAGAGGTCCTTTCTATCTAGAAATGCAGGCCTTCAGTTCCATGAAATTTTTTTGGTAATTTTCTTCTTTTTTCATAATTTCCTCCCTGTTGTTTCCTCTGTTCTTTCTCTTTTACTAGTCAACGTGGAATCTTTTGACCGGGTCCTTCACTGTTTGTATCTGTTTTTTCCTGGTTCCCACTGCCTTTTTCTTTCCTTCCTTCCTTCCTTCCTTCCTTCCTTCCTTCCTTCCTTCCTTCCTTCCTTCCTTCCTTCCCTCTTCCTCCTTGTCTTCTTCCCACCTTCCTCCCTCTTTCTTTCTCTTTTCCTCTCTCCTCCATTCTCTCATTTTTCTCTCATTCTTCCTCCTTCCCATCTTAGAAAATTCCTAAGCCCCTTCTAAGAACAAAGGACATTTACTGAATGGTATTTGCCTCCAAAACACTCATTCCACATCTTATGATTGGAGAAAACATTTGTTCACAAATAAAATGTCAAGTGTCACAGGCAAATGTCACAAGTCCAATGGAGAGAAGAATTGCATCCAGCCGGGAGGTTACATCTCAGAGTTAAGATCTGCCCTGGATACTCGAGGTTGGACAGGATATGACTGTCTGGTGTGGTAGGGTAGCAGGGCCAGGGGGTAGAGAACAGCCATTGCAGGCCCACAGGCAGGCAAGGCTCCTGGGGGCCTGGGAGAGGAGAGAAGGGAGGNTCTCTCTCTCTCTCTCTCTCTCTCTCTCTCTCTCTCTCTCTCTCTCTTTCCTTTCTGTTGCTTCCTGGGATATTTCCCCAGTGTTTCTACCAATGCTGCTGTTAAATTTCAGATTTTGCCTCTTACGTTTTTAATTTCCAAGAGCTGTTTCTTGTTTTCTCATTGCACCTTTTAAAACAACTGTTGTTTAATGGATCCAACATCTTATTTCTCTGAGGAGATTAATGATAGTGTTTTGAAGTTTATTTTTTCCTGTTTTTTTTTTACATTACCTTAGTTCCTTTATTTCATTTTTCTTTTTAAAAATTTGGTATAGTTTCTCTCTTTTCACTTTGTAATTTTCCTCAAGAGACTGATCACCATTGGGCTGTCTATTCATATTGAATAGACACTAAAAGCTTCCAGAAGCCTGTGTGTGTGTGTTTACTTTTCAACTTATGGGCTTCGTTATAGAGTGGCCAGCTGGGGACCCAGCCATTTTATTGGGGTACTCCCAACCAGAAGTATCTGTAGAGTTTCTTCTGGTACCAGTTCCCAGCCCAGGGCTGTGGAGGGTGAGGGAAGGGCCCTTGGTTGATAGTGCTTTCAGAACCAAGTGGCCGAAGGGGGCAGGAGTTTCCAAAGATCCATGCATAGATGTTCATTTAACCTCCCAGTTTCAGCATGGTGCTGCGTCCTGCCATCCTCTATTGGAGACTCTCTGGTTCAGTTTCCCCATAAGGTGCCAGGGGAGGGGAGGGACAGTCAGTGCCTTGTACAGGGAAGGAGAGGAGCCCCAGGCAGAATTGCTCCTTATGCAGACTTGTAGTCAGCCTCCCTGTTCTCAGCATCTCTCTCTCCTGCTTCCACAGTAGCCACTGTCTCCAACTGCTGACGCTTCCAGCACGGGTGGCAAGATCTGTCCCCTCCTTGTTGACCATCCCTTCGGTACGCAGTTGGCTTCCGATTTTTCAGCTCTGCTAATTCGTCCATCTGCTTTCCATCTTCCAAAAATCTGTTGACATCTGCCGCCTGCTGATGTCACTTCTCCTGTTTTCTCTGTCTTTGTCTGTTTATCTTCTCTTTATTCCTTTGCTGTCCTTCCAGCGGGGTTTGGGAAGAAGCAGATATGTGTTAAACCTGCCATGCTTAGTTAGCAGGAAGCCTCTGAAAACCTTCCTGAAGTGCTGAGTTCTCTTCTTTGCCTTACCCACGAACTCCAGTGCCCAGAGCTGCATCTTTGCTCCTGGAGAATTTGTAAGGCCTGCTGGTCATCAAGGTCAATTTTATTGAGAAAAGTAGTGGAGACTTGATTAAATGCAGCCTGAGCTCAGTTTATAACTAAAAATGATTGCTTTTAAATAAGTTACAACAAATTATTTCATTATCATTTAAATAAAATTTATTTTGCGTGATTCATTTTTTTCTTCTTCTTAAAGCTGTATGGAAAACAACTTCTGGTTGTTTTCTTTCTGGAAATGAGGGCTCCCTCTGGGCTGGGTCCTGGCTAGCCAAGGCTTTGGTGAAGTTCAGAGCTTGGCTAGGCTGGACTCAGGGTTCTCTCCATGTGGCATCTATTAGAAAAGGTTGTCAGGTCAAAGAGGTTGCATGGAAGGAGTCTAAAAGAAAGCCAAACTGCCGCTGGGACCTTAAAACTCCTTTAACAAGTGTGTTAATTTAAAAAAAAAAAAAGAATGTCAATTTTTTTTTTAAAAGGAGGCATTCATTAAAGAAAGCTCTCCTCTTCCCTCCAACACATAAGGTACAGAGCCTTTACTTGGCAGCATTACAGATGACCATATGGATATAAAAGTGATGACATTGCTGCGTTCTAATGAAAGTCTTGAGTTTCACCAGCTGCAGGGTTGTCCCTGGAGAGCTGACGAGGAGGGCGGGGGGAAGGTGTCTGTGGGGAAGGGGCGCAGTGCTGGTACTCATGGAGTTTTCTCTGTGTCCTTGCCTCTCCAGGTGCCCCCTTTCAAAGGTCTCAGCATCCTCACGCTACCTCCTGCCGCCACTTCCACCTGGGCCCCCCGCAGCCGCAGCAACTTGCGCCGGACTTCCCCCTGGCCCACCCCGTACAATCGCAGCCGGGCCTCAGCCCCCACATGGCCCAGGCCCACCAGCACAGCGGCGCCCTGCACCAGTCGCTGACCCCGCTGCCCACCCTGCAGTTCCAGGACGTCACAGGTCCCTCCTTCCTACCTCAGGCCCTGCACCAGCAATACCTCCTGCAGCAGCAGCTCCTGGAAGCCCAGCACCGCAGGCTTGTCTCACATCCCAGGTGGGTGCTTCCTGGGGTGGGGCGAGGGCAGGGCCTGGCTGGGGCCAAGGGCGGGACAGCCGTCTAACCCCCGGAGATTGGCCAGCAGTTACTATGTGGGTCTGTGCAGGAGGCAGCTTTTGCTCCAGGTCGAGGCATTCATTTCAGGCGGTGAGGGCTATCTTGGTTCGACATGGTAGCTAGTGTGGTGTCCCTGTCACACTGCGCAGGTGCAGAGACAAGAGCTGGGTAGCTGGTGGTCAATGATGCTTGCAATGAAGCGGTCCATGTTGTGGGAGGTTTGACTAGGGGATGCCTCAAGTCCCCTCTAGCTTCCTTCATTATCACCTGGTTCTAATAGCCAAGATCCCTAAGATACCAAAGAACATGGCTGGTTCAGCCCTGACCTCAAAGAGCCCCTGGTCTGGTTAGAGAGACCAGCTATGAAATAAATGGAGAGTAAGTTGGACAACACTAACCAAAGGCTCCGAAGGAGCTGTGGGACCCTGGGCAAGTCACTTCCCCTCATGAGCTTCAACTGTCAAGAGAAAGAGTTGGACTAGATCAGTGGTTCTCGCACTTTTTTTCCTCAGGTCCCTTTACTCTCTTAACAGTTATTGAGGATTACAACGAGCTTCTGTGTTTAAGGATTATGACAATTGATACTTACCATATTAGAAATGAGAACTGAGAAATTTAAAAAGTATTTATTAATCCATTTTAAAATAACAATAACAAACTCATTATATGCTAATACCAATAATATATTTTTGAAAAATAGCTGTATATACATGTAGTGAGAACAGTGACTTTTTAAAGGCATATTTGCAAATCTCTTTCATGAACTCCACTGTTCACGTGTGAGAGCATGAGAGTGAAAAAGTAAATAACATCATAGTATTATTATGAAAATAGTTTTGATCTCACAAACCCTATGAAGGAACTCCAAGGGGTGCTTGGAGCGCACTCTGAGAACTGCTGAAGTAGATGATCTCTCAGGCCCTAAGCATCCATGACTGTAGGGGTTGGATGCCTAGGACAGAAGGTAAGTATTGTAGGACCTCAGAGGGAGGAGAGGGCACCATGACTGGAGTGTTCAGGGAGGCCTTCCTGCAGGAGGCGGCTTTCACCTGAAAACTTGGAAGAGCGTGGAGAAGGGTGGAGGAAAGAAGAGCATGGAAGGAGCACAGGGTGCACAGAGGTGGGAGAGCCCGCAGATCTGTGTGTCTTGAAGACAGCCTACTAACAGGAGGAGGAGCAGAGACAGAGAGCCTGGGTGGGGCAGGTGACCTGCAGCAGACACACCCAGGGAGAGGCAGTACAGTGGGTGGCCGAAGACAGCGGGGAATGTCTGCCTTAATGGCTGCTCCCAGGTGGGAAGCTTCCTCGCAAGTTTGGAAAGAGGGGCAAAGCCCAGTGCTCCGTAGGCTGTGGGCTCAGGTTGGCTGGTCCAGCTCAGAGCTCCTGGGGGCTGGGCTGGCCCTGGGCAGCCCTGACCCCATGGGCCCTCCTTCCCTTCTGGTGCAGGCGGAGTCAGGAGCGTGTGTCTGTCCACCCCCACCGCCTCCACCCCAGCTTCGACTTTGGCCACCAACTCCAGACGCCTCAGCCCAGATATCTGGCTGAGGGAACTGACTGGTGAGTCTTTGGGGTCCCTGGGGAGGAGGAGAAGGGGAGAGGGTCTTGCCTGATCCATGGAGTTCCTGTATTGTTCACTTGAATAGTGCAGGAGGCCTGGTCCTCAAGCCCCAGCCTTTGCCCCTGTTCCCAGCCACCCTCAGGGCCTGGTGGTCCCCTGCTGGACTCAGTTTCTGTAATTAGCTCATCAATTAGCCCAGCCTGGGGCTCAGTGCTCATGGTCCTGCAGGGGAGGTGGGGACAGGGATACAAAACATTTCCAAACTCAGAGAAGGCTGAGAACCAGTGGTGGTCCCTGGGAAAAGGGCAAAAAGAAGAGTCTGAGGAGCCAGGGTAGTCAAGGAAGGCTTCCTGGAGAAGGTGAGCCTCGCGGGATCCACAGAGAAGAGCCAGGTCACGCCAGCAAGGCAAAACACAGGCTCACGGAGACCAAGCCAGCCAGGCTGGAGGCAAGGACGAGGGAGAGAAGCTTGGGGAGAGGTTGAGGGCGTTGTTGTGGTGTGTGGTAGGCACTGTGCCCCTGTGAGATCTTCCCACAGTCTCCTGCACTTGGGACAGAGGACTTGGCGGCCGTGGGACACAGTGTTGCTTGGTGTTGGATCTTCGGTCCCACCGGACTCTCTGATTTTGGCTCAGGAGGGAGATGATCTAAACGTGGGTTGGATCCGAACGCCCAAACACTTGAAGAAGACATTCCATTCACTGAAGTAGTTAGAGGTGAAGGGCATCATGCCTGTGACTGATTTTTAAATAATTCAGGAAAAAAATTAATGGAGAAGTATATGTATATGTATGGATGTGAGTAGAGAGAGAAGTAAAAGGGGGCGGGGACTAGAAATGCACTAAAATGGTAAGATGTTAACACTTGGGGAATCTGAGCGAAGAGTATCCGGGAATTCTTTGTGCTCGCGACCTTGAGGTTAAGAACAAATTTTTTTTGTTTTTGTTTTTGAAGAAGAATGTAGAAGCAAAAAACAAACAAACAAAAAAGCCTCAATGAAAAGGGATGGACTTAAAAAAAAAATAGACATGCAATTGTGTCATTTCTCAGCCATTTAGTCAGGCAAACTGGTTGCTTTGGGAGCAACCTAGGACTAAACACCTAGGAATGATTCAAAAGGATAGTTCTGTTGATTGAATGCTAAAGATACTTACAGGTGCAGGAAATAGTTATTTTAACACGTTCCCTTGTCCCCAGCCCCTGCTGGTTCTCAGGTACACTCTGTTAAATCCAACACTCCCTTAGAAGATAGATTGCACAGCTGCTGACTTCAGCCCAGACTTTTTCTAATTAGCAGATTCAAATCAGGAAAATTTAATTGCAGTTTAGATTGAATTCTGTCCCTCAGTGTCAAGGCAATTCAATTTAATTCAATCCAGCCACATGGAGAACCCAGGGCCTTTGCATTTGGCTGAGTGATCCGAACACACAGAGCCCAACGTGGCAAGTAGGACTGGACAGGTGACACAGGTGACAGTTGTTCTGGAGAGGCGTCAGGAGGAGCAGTGCAGGTGTTAGCACTGGCTGCTTCCTTTATTCAGCCTGATTTCCCCGGCCTTCTCACTCATTTCAATCACTCCGCATTCCTGACCCCTGCTTGTTCCAAGAAACATGAAGATGGAGGCCCCAGAGCCTGGTTTCTGTCTCATCAGGAGACGCTGGGAAGACCCTGCCCTGAGTCCCGCCTGGGCTCACCCCTGGGCCCTTTCTGTCTGTCCTGTCCCCACTTCCCAAGTAGGAAGCCCTTTCCAGAGGAGGAGGTGACAATTTCTCCTGCCTTATAATTAGCTCTGCTCCAACAAGGACCAGCTTCCTGGTGATGAGGGGCGTTTTGTAATTGTGATCATGCCAGTAGCATCCTGCCCCTCTTTTCTAGGGGGGCCTCTTCTGCCAGGAGATGCGCAGTCTGGAAATTAGATGACAGGAAATGCATTCTAGAGGGGTTACTCTTTCCCACTGTGAGGAGCCCTGGGAGGGAGGAGTTGGGGAGAGTGTGTCTTCAATCCCCCCACCCCCTTTTCCTTTTAGAGAACCATCAGAAACCATTGACTTCTGCCCTAGGTCATTCCAGGAATTGGGACACCCCAGCTGCCATGGTTCAGCCCCAGGCCTGGCCTTTACCCCTTACTTTAGGATAGTTTAATTTTACCCAAGCAGTAGCTTTTTCAGCCGGGCTGCTCCCTTCCTGGTCCAGGCCCAATAACTTGACCCTGACCTTAAGCTACCACTCCAGTATCCCCATCTTCATCCTCCTCCTTCTCTGACTCAATTCCAGATTTGCAGTTCCAGTTCTGACCCCCAGTGCAGACTGCACACTACTCCATCACCCAGCCCCAGTCCTGCCTAGGCAGAGGCCTCCAGGCACCTGGGACTTGTGGGGGAGGGTGGGTGGAGGACGAGAACTTTCTGTTGTCCTTCCCTTGCAGGCAGCTCTGCCTCAGCAAAGCTTCCAGACTCACCTGCCAGTTGGTGAGGCACTTTTGGGGCAAGCTCCCTGGGAAGAATGGTGGGGCAGGTGTGTGTGTGTGTGGGGAGGTGTCCACATAGCAACCCATCTACTCCATGTTTCAGGGCCATTGATAGTGGAAAATAAAGTTGAGTTGGATGTTTAGACACAACTGATAAAAGGAGAAATCTCCAGGACACTGTTTTGGATCACCGTGTGGCTTTAGACCTTTGGGGTGTTTCTGTGACCCCTTTCAGGACTCAGCCGGATTCTCACAGGCTGGTGGCAACAGCAGAAAGGTGGCAGATACTGCTTCTCCAAGGGCTGATGTCTCCTCAGGCAAGTCCTGACTCAGGCTTCTTTAGGGTCCTTGCATCATCCCCTGTTCACAGATCCTGGGTTCAGGCAGCAATTTTCTGATGAGATGATAAGAGGGGAACCCCAGAGCCTGCCCAGGCCCAACCCAGGCAGATCATCCCTCTCCTCTGAAGGCCAAGGTGACTTTCGCTTCTCTGGTCAGCATTCTTGGAATTGGGATGACTGTGTTCAAGTTCCTTGGGACTTTGCTTTAGGTAGAATTCCCTGAATGTCTCTTTGCTGCTTTGAATCTGCTGGGCTCCCTGAAACTGCTGGGTAAATGCTAAGAGTCAGAGCCTCTGCCACATGAGGGTGCCCCGTGGAACTCCTTTTCCTGAGGCAGATCGTGGGATGAGCCCAGGCAAGGGTCAGAAACCCTGGTGCCCCTAACTGGCTAGCCAAGGACCGAGGTACTGCCCTTCCTCAGGCCTCAGATGCGCCTGTGGAAACAAGAGGCTGGATGAGGGAATTTTATGTTTGCTTCAAACTGGCTTCAAGAGTTTAGCTCATTTCCCAAAGGACAGATTCATCAGGAGTTATTCCAGGAATCTGGGCTAATATATATAGAAAATGTAGGAATGTGTATATTATATTATATACACATCACAGCTGGAAACAGAAATTCCTTTAATGCCCCTGTTGACCAAACAATAACACCAACTATGTAGTTTATCACCAAAAAGATTTCTTCGGGAAAAGGAAAAAGTACTACAGCAGCATGAGAATGTGCAGACCCCACAAGCCACGTGCACATTCTGACCATATGCCAAGATGGCAGGTATATATACACGGCAGGGAGACAGCAAGTTAGAACCATAGAGTTTTATAAAAAGGAAGTTAGGACCATAGAGTTCAAGGAGCCCAGCTCCGCCCACAGAATTCCCAGCCTGATCAGTTTCCTTAAAGTCCTGGTTCATCTTTATCACCCCTCATATCTTTTTTTTTCTTAAATGTATTTGTTGAAGAAATTGGGCTGGTTTTTTCTGTAGTTTCCCCTTATCTGGATTTGCTGGTTATACCCTGGTAGTGTCAACTTATGGTGTCCCTCAGTTTCCTACATCCCTATACATTGGTGCTTAGACCAAGGCTTGAGCAGATTCAGGTTCAACTCTTATTTTTTGGCAGACATACTTTAAAGGTGGTGTTGGTTTTTCTAGCAGGAAGCTGGTTGCCTCTCTTTTTGTGATGTTAGTAGCAATTGATGATCTTTGCCTAGATCTTTTCTTTCTTTAGGGGATACAAAAATTTGACAAATAATTCAATCATTCCTTATTCATTTATTAGCTAGAAAACGTTTACAAAGAGAAATTTTCCTTCATCAGCTACTTGTTACCCTTAAGTACAGTTAATAAAGGAAAGGCAAGATAGATGCTTTTTTTTAATTCCCCTTTATTTACTAGTTTTCAAAATGAGGAGTTGGTTCCCTAGCATCCTTCAAGGGACCAATTTTCTTTAGCATCATTTCACTCTCCTGGATTTGTACCTATGTGATGTTTCAATCTGTTGCAGTTATACTCAAGGACATGCAAATTGTCCAAATTCTGGCCAGTGGGAACCTCTTCAGGAAGGTTCCTGAATGTTTTTGACATGACTTTGCTAGTGCTTGATAACTGCCTTACTTGCAGCTATTACAAGATGTTTCAGTCTCATTTTACACATTTTATGCCCTAGACCTGAAATTAGCCATTTTCCAAGAAGCCCTGGTTCCTTTCCACTTGCATGAGTTGACCACTTTTTAGGTGAAATGAATCGTCCCGTACCTTAGGAGTGGGGGTGGGGGCCACGGTCCAAGATAGCTTTTCCTGCCTCACTGCTGTTGAGGTCCCTTTTCTAATGTTTTCTCCAAATGGTAGAAGCATGGCCTCTGCTGCACCCTCTGCTTCCTCTGGACATTGTCTTTGCTCTGAACCCCTGACCAGCTCCATTTGGATTCTTCTTTTAGCATTTCTCTCGGGGATGGACTGTGTCTTGGGCAGGGACTTTGGTGCACTAATTTCAAGAAGCTGTATGAGGCCTTGACTGTTCTAGGCCCTTCAGACCATGCTGAGCCCTTTCCTTACCCAGAGTCTTGTTTCTATCCCTATAAAGACAGGGGATGGGCATGGTGAGGTCCAGTCGCTGCAGCTCTGGCAGTTTGACTGATTCTACACCAGGGGCTGGATATCAGGTCCCTTCTGTAACCCCATGGCTGAGTCATACCACCTGTGGCTCACTGTGGCCATGTCCCTGCAGGGATCTCAGTGTGGACGCCGGCTTGAGTCCTGCTCAGTTCCAGGTGCGGCCCATCCCTCAGCACTATCAGCATTACCTAGCAACGCCTCGAATGCATCACTTTCCCAGAAACTCCTCCTCCACGCAGATGGTGAGTGAGGGGGCTCTGCCTGGAAACTGACTCCTGTTGGGGGCCATGGTGGGCTGAGGCCTGCAGCTCCTCCCTGTCCTGTCCCCCCACCCCCATGTCCTGTCCCTGCTCTGCCCCCCATGTCCTGCTCCCGGGCAGGCCAACTGCTCCCCTCCCCTCCCAGCTCCTATTACCACTCTGGCTTGAGGGGAAAGAAAAGGAGACGGCTGGTCTAGAAGCTCGTACTGCTGCGAGGACTGTGTGATGCACTGCAGGGTGGAAAGGGGTGGGCATGGCAGGCTGTGGACTATGGGGAAAAGGCTCAGGGTTAAGAGGTCCCCGCACCCTATATGACCTGATTTAGTTACTTTCTTAGGGTCAGCACCTCGCTGGGCATATATCTGTAAAGTGAGATGAAGATCGCTGCCTGGCCCATCTCACAGGACTGGAGTGAGGAACAAAAGAGTCCCCAGAGATAGCCTATGGGCCTGGCCTGCTGACCCAGCCTGCTTTCTGCAGGAGGCTGGCCTTCTCATCACTGCAGGTGCCTAGGCTGCAGAAGGATCAGGTTGTGTTTGGGGGCCTTCAAGTGCGGAGCATTGCCAGCTTCATGGAAGGAAGGTGACGATAGTCCATCAAAGCAGTGAAAGACTGATTGAAAGTCCTATTCCCAGGCAGTTTCTTCATGTTGCCGCCCTAAAGCATAATTCCAGCCTTCCAGCCTCTGCCTCTGCTTTTCAGCATCAGACAAATTCTTCCCACTCAGCACCTCAGTCTCCTTAGTTGTAAAATCAGAGGCTTGGGCAGGTAATATCAGAAGTCCTGTCAGCTCTGAGGTTCTATGGTTCACGTTAAGAGGCACCAGCTCCTAAGAATCAAAGCTAACATTTATGGAGCCCTTACTGCATACCAGGCACTGTTCTAAGCATTTTATATGGATTATCTCGTTTAAGCCTCTCGACAACCCCACACAAAAGGGTAGTCTCCATAGTTTACAAATTAGTAAACTGAGGCATAGAGAGGTTAAGTAATGGACCAGGGTTGTGTAGTGAGTAAGATGAGGAGCTATGCTGGACAACTGGTCCCTTTGACTCATACCTGGGTCAGGGCGAGGCAGCGCCATGCAACTACAGGGGCACATTCTGTCTTTATTTAAAAATTTGATATTTTGTTCATTATGGACTTTTTACATTAATTTTGACTTAAAAAGCATATTGCATTAAAATATTCTTTATCTTGGTTACTGAATCTTTTAGCGCCCCCTTAAATTTTGAGCCCTCACTTGCTCCCCCCATGCTTGGGCAGTGCAGAGTCAAGCGGGAGAAAATGGACTCTGTCCCGCACCTGCCTGGATTTGAAATCATGGTCCTGCCACTCAGTTGCATAGCTTGGGCCACTTAATCAGTTTGTGCTTCATTTACCCTGTCAGTAAAATGGGTGTAGTAATTGCACTCACATGATAGATCAGATGAGATAATTAAATTTGGTAGTCATGTGAAAGACTTAGAGCAGTGCTTGCCATGAAAAAATGTCCCATCAGGTTAGGTGTTACTTTACTGATTTTGCTATTCTTCCTAGGACTGGTCTAGCATAAGCTTGGTTCTTAAGGAGGAGAGGGGGACCCAGGAGCAGGATAGATGGCACTTCTGCCCACGGAATCTCAGGGCGTGCAGATTGGCTATTACAGGAAGAGGAGTCAAATGCTGGGCTCATGAACTCTTGAATCCTACCCGAAGCATTTTCTCCCCCAACAGGTCGTCCATGAAATCCGAAACTATCCTTACCCTCAGCTTCACTTCCTTGCCCTCCAAGGACTGAACCCCAGCAGACACACCTCTGCGGTGAGGGAGAGCTACGAGGTACACCCACCCCTCTGTCTGGGAATCCTCCTGCCAGCCTGACTCTGCCAGGGTTGGAGGAGAAGCCATTATCATTCATCATTATCATTCATTGTGTCCCCTCCTCCCCCACCCCCACTCCCCGCTAGTGGGTGGGGCATGGGTGGGAAGGGGAGCCTCTTGAGAGAGAAAAAAAGAGAAGAAGAGATATTGAGGTCTTTCAGCATCAGACAAGCTCATCCCAATCGCTGTGTGAGTTCTTTCTGCTAACATTTTGCAGTGGTCTTCTTCCTTATCATGTGTATATGTGTGCCTTTGCATCGCAGAGCGCACATATCCATTTTTCTCTTTGCAGGAGCTGCTGCAACTCGAGGACAGGCTGGGAAATGTGACTCGGGGAGCTGTACAGAATACCATTGAGAGGTTCACCTTTCCCCACAAGTACAAAAAGGTGAGCTGGCCAGCAGGCCAACCTGCATAGTTAGGGGGTGGGAGGTACAGATTGTATAGTTGACCTTGGCCTGGTTGTCCACAGAGGAGCACAGTTTGAAATTTAGAAGGCTTTGCTCTGGATAGATACTCTGATACTTTCCCAGGGTCTTGTCCCTTGCCTCTACCAGGTGTGATCAGGAGGGGAGATGGGGGCCCCCTATCAGTAAAGAAGGCGGTTGGGTATGGGTGTACATGTGGACTTGTGAATGGGTATACTAAGGTGGTGTAGAGGGAAATGAATGTTTGTATCTGAGTGCGGTGGGCAAAGGGAGTGCTTGCACTGAAGGCTAAGACTTGCCTTAGGAAAGAATTCCAAGTCCAGCCTCACACGATGGACAAACGGGCAACTAAGGCTTTAGAGCAGGCTTCCAATTCTCTCTGAGCATCAGGATCACCTGGAGAGCTTTTAAAGCCACAGCTTCACAGGCTCTGCCTGTACAGGTAGACTCTCCAGGGTTATTGCCAGGAATCAGATATAAAAATTTTTTTTAAATTAAATTTAAAAAAGTGAAAACAACCAAGATGCCTCTCATAAGTGACTGGATAAACCAACTGTAGTAACTTCATGCCATGAAATATTATTCCATGATAAAAATAAATGAGCTATTAAGCCATAAAAAGACATGAAGGAAGCTGAAATATGTATTCCTAAGTGGAAGAAGCCATCCTGAAAAGGCTGCATACTGTAGGAATCCAACTATATAGCATTCTGGAATGGCAAAACTAGAGACAGTAAAAAGACCCATTGTAGGCAGGGGCTTCCGGGGAGGGAGAGAAGAATGAATAGGTGAATCATGGGCAGTGAAACTATTTTGTATGATTCTGTAATGGTGGAAACATGACAATGTGCATTTGTCAAAACCCATAGGACTGTTCAATACAAAGAGTAAACCCTAACGTAAACTAACAGGCTTTAGTTTATAATAGTGTATCACTGTTGGTTCATCAGTTATAACAAATGTGACACACCAATGGATGATGTTAATGATAGGGCAAAATGTGTGTGTGTTGAGAGGGACAGGGAAATGGGAACACACTATATTTTCCACTCAGGTTTTATATAAACCAAAACTGCTCTAAAATATAAAGTCTGCTATGAAAACAAATACATAATTTTTAAAAATTTAAGAATTAAAAGCTTGACGAGCACTGAGAAACTGAGAACATTGTGATCAAGTAAGAGCCTACCTTCACCTCCTCGCAAAGCCCTAGGTTACCGTATTTGTGAGCACTAGGTGTTGGAATCAGACAGGGCCAGTTTCGAATTTCAGTTTTACTATTGTCTTAGTCAGTTTGGGCAGTTGTAACAAAATACCATTGACTAGGTGGCTTAAAGAACAGACATTCAAGTCCAAGATCAAGGTATCAGCAGACTTGGTTCTTGGTGGGGGTTCTCTTCCTGGCTTATAGATGGCTGCCTTCTTACTTTTTCCTCACATGGTAGACAAAGGAAGCTCTGGTGTCTTTTTCTCTTCTTATAAGGGCACTAACCCCATCATGGGGCTTCACTTTAGTGACCTGATCGAAACCTAATCAACCTCTCAAAGGCTCCATCTCCTAATGCCATGACATTGGGGTTGGGGCCTCAACATATGAATTGGAGAGGGTGGGGACACAGACATTCAGTCTATAACTACCACTTACAGCTATGTAACTCTGGACAACTTACTTGGCTTCTCTGCCACCTTCCCTGCCCTTTTGAGTGTAAAATGGGAACGATATATTAGCAGCTACCATAGGGGGTGTTCTGGGGATTCAGTGCAACGGTGCGTGTGCACAGCTCAGCTCGGTGCCTGGGAAGCGGTGAATACTCAGCAATGGTGAGCTGCTCTTCCCTTCATGTGAGGCTCACTTGTTCCAGGCTTGCCCAGGTGCCCGTGGGGTCAACATCAAAGACCATGAATCTTGGTCAATGCACCTCCTCATTGAGGCCCTGGATTTATCCGTAAGTGATTTCAACCAACATTTGAGTTTCTACTATGTGTCAGACATGGACAGTGTACTCACAGAGGAAATGACAATATTTTAGTAATTAAGAACCTGCATGGGAAAACTGATCATTCTCTGGAGACAGAGCTTTGAGTTATTGGAGAAGAACATGGAAGGGAATGAGGCATGTTCAGGGGCCTGGGAGCAGCTCCTCCTCCCCTGACCAAGGGGTACTCACTCCTGCAAGGGCCACACACTCCACCAGCCATCATTGCAACAGGCTGTGAGGAGATAAGGAAAAGAGCACGCACAAAGGATGAAAAGGGAAATGGACTGAATCAGTGAGAGAAAGAGTTGAGTTAAAAACCAATGAGAATAAAGGGAGAATTAGGGGAATAAAAATATTATTAAAAAGGAATAGGAATAATTAAAAATGAGAAATGATAAAGTTTAGGACCCAAATAAAATGTGAAAATAAAAACTTTAAAAATTTAAACTGAGAGTAAAACAAAAAGGATATTCTAAAATAGTAATGATATAAGAATAAAAAGTATACAAAAATATAATCAAATAAAAATATAAAAAGAATAAGAGCTAGGAAAAGATATGAAAAGAACATAAAATTAAAATCAATAACATCCAAGTGAATGTTAATGGAATTGAGAAGGTAGGGGCAAAAGGGATAAAAAAAATTAAATAAATGCTGAAAAAGGTTAAAGTTAAAAATAACAGTTACATAAATGAAAAGAGAAGACAAAAACTACAAGACCTTAAAGATTAAAAATACAAAAGAGGAACTAGGGTAAGATTGGAAAAGAGAGAATAGTTCCAAGAAATACAGGTTAGATATAGTAAAACAAAGTAAGAATATTAAGTTTAAATTATTAACTATAAAAAGGAAATCAGGAATAATTGTGGGGAAATAAACAATAGAAAATAGGCAAGTAGTTGATTCTTAATAGTATCTTTTATCAAATATCCCTTTTCTCACAGGGCTAATGAAAAGAAGGCCCCTCCTTCAGCAAACACAGCTGGGCTTTTAGGCAGATCATCATGTCTCCATTCATACTGAAAAGCTACAACAATTATATGGGATTATGAATGTCATTCTGATTTTTCTGGATTCTGGATAAGGGGAAATTTATTGCAGTCGCCTGGAGTGGTTTACAATGGGGTTTCCAGGGAGGCTGAGAGCAGAAGGCATGGACAGTCTTGTATGTTCCAGTGAGGTTACAGACAAATCAGACTAAGGAACTCCAGAGCTTAGGACCGAGGACCAGAGTGGAGAGACCTGGCATCTAGGCCTGGCCCCAAGGTCAGGGCAGTCTTTATCTTGTGACTCTCCAGGTTTTTCTCTTGGCAAAATGATCTTTAACTCTGCTTATTCCTGGAGAGGGGACGGAAGGGCTAGTTTTCTTCCCATGGGTATTATCGGGGTGTTGCACTGCACAGCATGGAGATGGAAACTCAAAAGGTGGGCTGATTTAATTCACTGATTACATTCCTTCCTCCCCAGAATATTTATTAAGGACCAATGATACCTGTACTTGGCCAAGTGTGGGGTGATACCTAAAGAAGAGGGGGCCATAGTCCATACCGCCTAAGACTTGGAACTTTCTACGCAGTGGTTAATTATGTTCAAACAATTAGCATAGAATTTAAAACAGGACAATTAAAGTCAATAAGTATAAACAGAGTATCTGCATAATGACTAATCTCATGTTGGAACTAGTGCCTGTTTTAAGGAACTTTCTGGACAGGAAGAGAAATCCAACAATATAAAATAGCAGTGTGGTACAAATTGCAGTTGTTAAGGTCAGGTTGAGGAATTTTGCCTTCCTCTAGTAATGAATGAATAAATGATAGGTATTAGTGAGTGGAAGGAAGGAAGAGAGAACGGAAGGGAAGGAGGGAAGGAAGGAAGGAAGGAAGGAAGGAAGGAAGGAAGGAAGGAAGGAAGGAAAGGGATGAATGGAAGTATGGGTGAATGAAGCATGCTGGACCTGACCGTGGAGGGAGAAGCTGGGAGGCGGGGATCCAGGTTGGAAAGGATGGAAGGAGGCGTGGACAGCATGAGGGGAACAGAAAGGAGGGAGCTGTTTATGCACAGCCGTCATTTTACAAAGGACTGGTATATTGATACCCAATTCCTTTCCAAACTCTATGGTCCTAGGACAGTATAAAGTGTATGCCTGGGGCATGAATTACTTGGAACAAGAAAAATAAAGTCCACTTGGCCTCTTCTTCACTTGGCTTTAACCTTCTGTATCCTGCAGCAAGGAAGAGGGCTGGGGAGGAGACAGGGAGGAGGATCTGGAGAGAGCATGGGAAGCCTGGGTGTTACTTAGAAACTAAAGAAGGGACTGACTCACAGCGGGAGGGAGGTGGGGAAGAGGCTGTAAGGGAGTGGATGAAAGACAGTGACCACCAGGTGAGTCTACTCCATGTAACAAGTGCTCCTCCTCTGCTTCTCATAGCGAAGACCCCAAGATGGCAAGGGCAAGAAAGAAGAGGGGGAGGAGTCAGACACAGATGAGAAATGCACAATTTGTCTGTCTATGCTGGAAGATGGAGAAGATGTGAGGTAGGAGGTCGGCTTGGCACTCCCTCTCTCTTTGCTCTTGGGTATTGGTGATCAATCACGCACTGTGTGTCTGGGGTGGGGTTTGCTTGTGCATGTGAGTGTGTGTGTGTGTGTGTGTGTGTGCGCGCGCGCGCGCGTGCGCGTGCGCGCATGCATGCGTGCGTGTGCATGTCAACTGTGTCATAGTGTACTTCATGGTGGTTCTGGGAAGGTGGGGTGTGGAACGTTCTAGATGTGTGGTTCCTATGGATGTGGACTTGTGGACACTAAGTTTAAGAGAACAGCATGATATTTGGCCTGGATGGGTCCTAGATGAAGTCATGGCTTTGTTTCAGGCTAAAATGAAAGAGCTTCATGGAGAAGAGGGCTTTGGGGCTCTCCTTTTTGTCATGACTTCCCATCCTAGCCACAACCTCACCCCATGGCAGGGCCCCCAAGACCCTTTTTGGCCAATCCCCCAGTGGTCCCAGCTGTGTCTCCTGGTCCCTTGAGTAGCCACTGCCCCTCAGTTTTGGGCTCAGACCTGGACCCCTTCCCCTCAAGCATTCCTTTGACTCTCCCCTTCTTTTTCAGGCGCCTACCATGTATGCATCTCTTTCACCAACTGTGCGTGGACCAATGGCTCGCCATGAGCAAGAAATGCCCCATCTGCCGGGTGGACATTGAGACACAACTGGGAGCCGACAGCTGAGGGAGGAATTAGCCAGTGGATGCCCCATTTTCCTTCACCAGGTCCCCCCACGGCCATAGCCCTTGCAGCCAAACTTTGCCTTCTGAGCCATTTGACGTAGAGGAAAAGCCTGCAAGCACATTTAGTGGAAAGAGGAGTTGGTGGTATCAGTGTCTGAGGGAAAGGAGGGGTGGGGGGAGAACCCCCCCCATCCAGAATGGTGACTGCCCCCATCCACCTCGCTGCGCGGGAAGGAGGGAGCTGGCCGTGCCCAGAGCAGGGGTGGGAAGGGGGGGCCCACGCTGCTGAGAATCTAGGTGTGATCCTGAAGGTCCTAGCTGATAGACCGGCCCCTCAATCCTGTCCTTTGAAGGATTGTATATATACCTCTCGACCACGTAGAAACCATGTAGGGGTCTCTAGCTATTTCTGTGGATGGCAGCCGGAGCATGTTAGCTTAAGAAAAATGTTGTGTGTGGTGCTCTAGTCATCTTGTGGTGGACATGTCGCTATTACCGAATTCGCACCAAATATTTCTCATTGAGTTTCTTGTTTTGGTGCCTGACTGAACCAACCAACGACAGCCCAAATCTTCCCGTCTTTAGGAGAGAAGAGGAAAAAAGGAAACAGGTGAAAAAAAAAAAAAGCCAAATCCTGTTTAGGATGAACAAGGATTTTTTTTTTTTCACCCAGGTTGGGAGGCGGGAGGGGGGGTTCTTGTTTTTTTTTTTTTGGTTTTATTTCTTCCTTTGCTTTTGTTTTTCTCATGTTTACAGTGCACGGAGCATGGAAGGGGGGCATGTGGGAAAGGGGAGGACTAGAAAAGCAGCAGATGGGGGTCTTAAATGGGCCTCTGAGCGGGGCTGAGCCAGGGTTGGGAAGGCAGAGTTTGAGTAGGTAGGAGGAGAATTCTGTCTTGAAGGAGGGCTCTCCAGTTCCACAGCCCATCTACTTAGCTCCAGCCATCCCCCAGGCTCCACAGTGAACCAGGGAGGGGCCAGCCTTCAATGAGAGCTGGTTCTGGGTTCCTCAGAGTCAGGACGTCCCTGCTCATGCCTACTTCTTCCTTTTGGCTGCGCTCACGCCCTGTCACAAAGAGGCAATTTGGCCACTGCCTCCCTATGCAAAAAATGAACCAGATAATGAAGATAAGATAGCATAGGTGATGAACACTTGGCTTTGGCCAAAGTGCTCTCAGCTAGCACGCTAGGGCTGAAGTCAAACACTGTGGACCTTGAGGAGGACCTCGAGCCTCCTTTGGGATGTCTCAAATCCTGATGGAGTCCCTTGGAGTTGGCCCTGGCCCTGAGACCATGTTGGCTGGGTTTGGGAGGTGCTGTGTCCCTAGCCTCTGGCTCTTTCTCTGACTCTTCAGTAACCTTGGGCAAGTCCCTTTCTTTCTCTGTGCCTCAGTCTCCTTCTCCTTAGAGTGGGGAGAAACACCAGAGCATCCCCATTTCCACTTCCTCTATATAACCTAGATGTTATGAGGATCAATACTATCTGCCCAACACATTCACGCTCTCTCCTGGGAACCTCCTTGGGGTTTCGGGATGGAGGTGGTGGGAGAGACAGACCTGGAAATTCCAGGTGACACCACACAGTGTGTCTTTCTGCACCACCCCACAATTCTTCTGAACCTCAAACAAGCAGAGAGATGGGAGGACAGAAGAATGGAGATGGGAAAATCCACCAAATTGCACCAATTCCCCAATCACAACCCAACTTTCTTTATCAGTAGGTGGGAAACACCAGCTCAGCTGGAATTCTGCTCTTCCCCTCCCCCTCATTTGCACTGCCCTCAAAGCCTCTCCCTGCCCCAGTCTCAATGCCCTTATAACAGTAAGAGGGGACTACTGGGCACAGGATACTTACCACATATATGAAGAAATTCCATAAGATTAAGGAAACCTGAGTCTGCATTGCTGCTACAAAGGATAAAACCAGGACCAACGGGTAAAAATGACTGGGAGGCAGATTTTGGCTTGAGGTAGAACCTTCTCGCACAACTGGAGCTGTCAGATGGAAGGATGGCTGTTCTGGACGCCTGTCGGCAGAGAATGAGGGAGGTGGCTTCTTGTGGGAGGGTTCCTTGAGGATCTTGCTCAGACTAAGGCAATGGTTACTGGGTGCCCACCTCCATGGGTACCCACCAGTGCAGGCACAGGGAGAGACAATAGCAAAGAAGACAATAGCCCCACCTCAGGGAGCTTACAGTCTAGCCCAGGAGCTAAGACACAAACAATAGTACAGAAATGGTGAACAGTCTAATTCAGGGTTGACGGCAGTGAGCACGGATGGCAATGTCCCTCCCGTTCAGTGATTGTAGTGTGTGAACAGTGTCTCTAGGGCTAAAAGGCTGGAGACTTCACCAGTGTGGAAAGTACTTCTGAGTCAGGATTTCGGGGAAAGCTAGTTGTTAGTTGCCCTGGGGACTTGGGAATCCTCCCTAGCCTGCTTTGACCCAGGGGTAGCCAGGGTGGCCTAGGGAAGGTCGCTGCCCTCTTTGTCTCTTGCTTTTCTCTCCACGGCCAGTTTGAAAGGCTGGCACATAGAGGGAGTCTGTGGGGAGGCCAGATGGAATGAGAGCTGGCGTCCTGGGTCCCAGTCTTGGCTCTTCGTGACAAAGTGGGTAGACCTAGAAACCTGCCTTCTTCTCTCTGGGCCTCGGTGTACTTCAGCTATAACACAAGGAGGTTAGATTGGACACTTGCTAAATTTCCTTCCAACATTTACATTCTCTGATCCTAACATCAACAACACATCATTCAAGTCGTTAGAGTTGTGTGCTGACTGAGCTGTTGAAATGACTGTCTATGGGCACCAACATCTGTTTCAGAGGCTGAGAGTCGGGCGTGGTCCCCTCCTTCCAATTCTCTGCAGGCTCCCTGAGTGCCTCCGGCTAACTTTAGGCACTGGCTGGGGTCGGTGGGATTCCCCTGGAGGGGAGAGGTCTGCTGCTGGGGGTAGATCCTAAAGCCTCCCTCTTCTCCTGCTCTCTCTGGGGCCCTCTTACGCTACAGGTGGGCACAGGAGGTGATGTGGACCAAGGCACCTCCCAGCCCCCTTAGCTGGGCAGCCGTCAGGGTGAGGAGAGACCACAGGAGTCTGTGCTTCTGCTCCCTCGAGGCCCCCTCCCCCATTGTCTGGGAGCTAGGGAAGAGTAGAGATGAGGCAGGCTCAGGCCTCAGCATCTCACACCTACCACCTCCAGGAGGGGAGACCTCCTGTTGTCCTCCTTCTGCTCAACTCCAGGGACTCAGACCCTTTCCTGACTGAGACGCATGAGTGCCTTCTGGGGCCACAGTTGCCCCAGGATCAAGTCGGGCCTCCTAGCCACAGCACAGCCCGGGCCGCAGTGGGTCCACTGAGGATGCCAATCACTGAAACCAACGCCACAAGCCCAGACTGCGCGGGCAGAGGGCGGGGGCACGGAGCTCCTCCATTTGCCGGGACCCCCTTGGGCCCTGTAGCCCTTGCCCACCACCTGTGGCAGGACTCAAGCTCCTCTTCTGCAAATGTTCCCAGCCTCCGTGCAAGTATTCTTAACTCTTTACGCCTAATGAAAAAGCACAGTTTTTTCAATGGTGAGTAAAAAGCACCAGATTTTCTTTTTTTTCCCCTGAAGAAATCCCCCAAGCCCCTCGCCTGCCGGCGGGACACACACTCCCCGAGTGGGGCTGTAGCAACGTCTGTCAGGTCTCCCCCTCGTGTTTCATCTCCTGCGCGCGTAGAGCAAATGCTAGAGCGATTTCAGCTGATAGAAAAAACAAAAATGAAAAAAAAAAAACACAAAAAACAAAAACATGGCACGTTGCTAGTTTACAGGGTTTTGTGAGTTTAAATGCCTTATATTTAACAATCATAATTTATGACTAACTTGTAGATATCGTGGGTTCTTATTTAATTATTTTTATAGTTGTTTTGCATTTTTAATTATAATTTATTTATTTAGAAAGGATACTAATTTTTTTTATTACTCCTATTACCTCATTTTGGCGTTGTTTCTGGGAGTGGAATGCTTTGCATGCATTGGTACGATGACAAACAACTACGAATACAAAAAAAAAATTTAAATAAAATTCCGCGAACTTTATTTCGTCCAAACTATCAGGGTGTGTGATTGCAAGCTGTCCTACTGTGGTGCTGGCCTCTTTGGATACATTCCATACGAAATGCAAACCTTTGATTCTGTATGCTGTGATCTAGTGAAAAACTCCAATATAGTGACTGTATTTAGCACATATATAAATATAATTTGCACTCGTCAGCAGACTGGGGTAATCCTTTCACTTGCTACCCTTCTCCCTCCAAACCTCCCCACCCCCCATCATTAACCTGTGTTTCCTTCTTCCCTCACCCTCCCCACAACCTCAGCCCACCCTGCCTTCATTCCTCTGAGGAAGATGGGGGGGGGGCGCCTAGAGGTCACTCTCTCCACCTGGGCGCCACATCTCTTGGGTTCCAGAATGTTCCCTTCGGATATGACCAGCAGGAGCATCTAGAAGCCAAAAAGCCTGATTTATTAGAACGAGCCCTGGACTGGGAGTCAGGAGGCTCCTATTTTCAGACAAGCTCTATTGTAAACGTTCCTTAACCTTGAGCCAGTCACTTGGCCTCCCTGTGTCTCAGTTTTCTGGGCTGGGGTAAGGGAGGTGAACTGGAGGGTCTCTAGGGAAAGGAGAGAGGCGAGGAAGAGAGTGGACTGAGAATTTATCCAGAAGATTGGCTCGAAGGAGACATCTGGAGGTTTCCTGTCCTTTGTAGCATCCTGCGGGTGACAGGGGAGGCAGGCCAGGTGGACATATCCCCAGACATGGGACATGCGCTCTCACAAGGTTTGGCGGCGCCTTGGAGAGTGAGCTGAAGTCCATGTCTTGTTAGCTATGGGGATGGGGTAGGCAGAATATAAGCCCCAAACTATGGTGTTTGGGATTGGCACCTCACCCTATCATCTCCCAGGGCCTTTGTTGTTAAGGCGTCACCCTTGGCAACAGATTGGGACACAGATTTTAGGCTCATGACCTCCCTTTCTTTACTCTCTCTGCCATTGCTCCATAGGAAGAGTGCTAGGGGAGGGTTTGGGGAAACAGTGGCCTCAAAGGCTGGCACAGCAGTGAGCCCAGATGCCTTTGAGCCGAAAGGAGAGAGGCTGCCCATAGCTCCAGAAGACCCTGAGTGGGCTCGGCCCCGGGCCCAGAGTTGGGGGATGACTCCCTCCTGTGCTTTCTGCATGTCTGCCTCCTCCCTTCTTCCCTCCTGCCCTTCCTTTCCAGCCCATCCTTTCCTCTTGCCTCTTGACATCACTGCCTTTGCCTGGTGGAGAAGTCCAGCCTCCACATGAGGCCCCCTGGAATGGTGCTGATGGGGGAGAAAGTGGAGGCCCAACTCGCCACACTGCCTGGCCAGGCTGGTAGGCGTGGCTGGGCCATGCATGGCCCCTAAGCCCCGCCTTTGCCCTGGCCAGACTGTGGGTCCCGTTTC